CGATCGGACTTTATCCCCAAACCCTAAAACAAACAAAAACAAACCAAACAAGAAATTGAAAAGCCTATCCATTTCACGTGAAGATGGAGGACCAGCGAAGCTGTTATCTTTATGACAACGTTACGACAACTATACGACGTCTATACGACATCTATATGATTTACATGTGATTGCAATGAAGACAAGGTCACGACTTTGTTGTTTAATTGTCTTTATTTAAATATTAGTGACTAAAGTGATTATTGCCTTATGGTCACTTATGGGCAAGTTCTAAACCCAATTTTTCGAGGAACACCTCGAGGACAGTTTTTTTTTTCTGATTGAGCCCAAGTCTCTTTATCTGCATCGCGGAAGCGAAAGAAATTAAGGTGACATCGGCGCGATTCTGCCCTCAGCCTCGTCACAGCGCACTCTTAGCTGAGGTTAGTCCGTGGCCGTAGATGATAACAAAGGATCACGACCTCACTATCTAATAATGCCATGGAAAGCTGACTCACGCCGGTTGCCCCCCCACTTTTTTATTTATACTTGACACGTCCAATTGGAACAAAGGGGCGCCGTTTAAACGGGAGTTTTTTGTTAACATCTATAGACGCGTTTTTTTTCCAGATCCTAGCACATAACAACTTCGCCCTAAAACGTATTTGGCCAACGCGCTTAAAGCGTGACGCAGACGCCTCCACGAGTCACACTCCGCGTTACGAAAACACGTTACCTTCACCGGCGCGTGCTTGCATTGAAAGAGCTGTGTTCCAACTCCGTTGCGCAAGAGTTTCTGGAAGGCAGCAGACTCAGCGATATTCAATAGGCCGAGCCGTCACAAAGGTGAAACGTACCAAGGAGCGTTCGTCTCTGTCACACAAGCACTATCCCGGATGATAAAGGACACCGCCCCTGCAGCTTGGTTCGATCTCGTGTTACAGCGTAAGCATTCAACCCCATGGACGCTGGAAAAGAGCCAGTCGTCAATCTGCCACAAGCAGAAGTGCAGACATATTTCAGGGTCCCCATATAGGTAAACCTCAGGCGAAGCGGCACCTTCGCACCGTGGTCCTCGGAACTCCAAATGTAACACCCGTGCACCCAAAGGAAGCGCAAGCGTGCACAGGAAGAAGCACCGCGGGAAGCATATGGGGGACTCGAAAACAAGTGCCTCCTCCGCGTGTCACGTTCTTTCTTGCCTCGCCGGGGCCATTTCAGGATCTGTATCGCACGGAAGCCAGTTCGAAGTTCCTGCTGTTGGTTGGGCGAGTCCCAGGTGGTCGCGTTCCCGCGCAAGCACGCCCGCCTACACCAAGCGCAAGAGCACTTTCGCAACGGTAACGGCAGACGGAGAGAACGGCGGCAGGGGTCGTCAATCAGTGCCGGAAATTCCCAAGCTGCTGCACGCCAAACCAAACTACAGATTCGATTGCACCTAGGCCCTGAGGGCCATGGAGCTCCGTCCATTGCCCCGTCGGTAAAACGTTGGATGAAATTAGGGTATCGGTAACGCAGGCAGTTATTCTCGCAAAGTTTCCGTCTGAGGGGAACACGAAACAAAGCAGTTTATGCGATTATTGATTCAGGTGCACTTCGCTAACCTCATAAAACTGAATCTCTCCAGCCTCGCGAATCCTGCGTCCGACTAAGAGCTGAGCGCTCCATATGAAAAAAAAAAAAAAAAAAAAAAACAGCGATAGTGTATTTTTTTAATTAATTTAGTTTAATACAAATTTAAAAAAAAGACTATCAGCTAAATGACTATAGCTATCTTTGTGTGTTTATTTTTTTTATGAAACTACGTTTAACAAAACCACTATAAATCTGTAGAAGGTGACACGAAATTCTGAGTTGCTTAAGCTATGTACTCTTCATTTTCGGGGGAACGAAAATGATGTAGGCTGCTAAAGAGAGAGAGAGAGAGGGAAAGAGTAAGCACTGCAGCTTCTTTGAAACCAAACAGAACAAAATATTGAATATTTTTAAAGCTGCTTTTTCAACACTGATATACTTCTTGCCTTTTACGTATTTCAGTCCTTCCGGCGCCTCACGCGACTCTAAACTTAAGGGAAGAAATCACACTCCAGAAAACTTTTTCAATGTTTCCTCACGTTTCGTGAGTAAACATTGAAAAATTATCGAATATCAGTAGGTCAACGAAATTCTAGCTGTATTAGTTATAGAACGGCACGGAATATATATATATATATATATATATATATATATATATATATATATATAGTTTTTTTTAAGCGCTTTAAGTTGATGTTGGTTTTTCACTGGTATTTAGACAGGAGGATGGTGTTACAAAAAAAAAGCTTAAAAAGCCAAATCTAATAAATGAAATGTTCCCACGTTTCTCCTTCTCCCTTAATGTCTCGAATGCAGCAGCTGTAACGCAGATTTCTGTGGAAGGTCCTTAGACGAACTATGAGCATATGGCAGCCCAATTCTTGGGCATGATTACACGCACCGCCAAAACACCCGTCAAAGCTAAAAGGTCAATGCGTTCCTAAGAAAGAAAATAGAGATAACATAAGTTTTGACTATTTCTTCGTCTTTACAGCTGGACTGTTTTTGGCACACCAGTTTCCATCACCACTTGCACGCTTTCGCGTGACCGCGATGCCATGTTAAATTCTGATCAACACGGTACACGGTGGAGACACGGTGCCGTGGAAAAAGCGAGGAACAAATTGAATGATTTTAGTAGCCGATCTTAACGCGTTAGAATCAACAGCAGTCCTGACAGTCGTTCCGTTTGTTCGCCGCTATTCTCGTTTATTATTTAAAAAATATATGTATTTATTTATTTTTATTTATTATATTCTGCGGGTCAAGGCGGCAGGGTGGCAGAGGAAGAAGGCATTTCTGCCTCGCAAGTGATCTCATATCATATCTACCCATAACAGTTCAGCAATTAACAAATACGTATACGAATACACAGACACATCTTCCTCGAATTTGTCGAGAAATGCCTTTATTACTATTATGAATATTATTTTAAAGATATATGTTTTGTTTTTGTTGCCAATACTCACCTTCTGTTTGAAGCTCTACTGGATAGGATAATTCTTTGTAAATGTAGTACCAGATTACCACTTGAGCGAATGCTTTCTAAACGTGCTTCAGTTTGAGCGAAAAGCTCACAACAAAGTCAAGCGCTTTCAGAACCAAAAGTGAACACCCGCACAAGTCCAACACAATGGCGGAGCTTTTTTGATGGTTTTGGTTTAAGGACAAGACGATTCCAAGCTTCCAACGTGCTTTTTTATAACACACACAAACACCGTCAAAATCGTCGCTGGCAGTCCATAACCCGTCTTGACATCACTATATAGGAACCATAAAAGGAAGCCACCGAAACACCTCGTCGCCAATAACGGGTGTTTCTGCGAAGACTTTCAAACATTCCTAAAAACAGAATGTTCACAAAAAAAAGCAACTCTTTTCGAGAACAAACTTTAAGCCACGGCGGACGTCAGGGATTGCAAAACCAAAAACACACGCAAACACTATTTAGCAAAATAATTGCCTAAAACTAACTAATGAGTTTTTAAATAGGGAAAATAAACGTATGTTTCCAATTAGAAACTTGCTGAGCGTCGTCGAAAATCACTAAATCAGTCACTTTAAGGACGACTTGAAGAACTAAGGAAGTGCGGGCGGGCGCTAAAGTTCCCATTTGTGCAGCAGATGCGAAAACGGGGATGATATTTTTGTCATTCGCGTTAACGCTGCGAATTGATAAAGAAAAGCAATGAAATTCACTAATCCCTATGCATTTGAAGTTGTCTAGCGCTAGCCAAAATTCAGTGCTAGACAACTGATGTCCATCGCTCATCTATGAGGTCTAACGTTTATCAGTTTTAATTAATCCCCTGAGCGCAAAACGTCAGAATTAAACCGCATGACCGAATCTATTGAATCGTCAATACTCGGTGCAAGCAGGTCCAGGGAACACACGCGCTTTATACTGCTTTAAATTATTCGTAAATAGCTAGACCATGATGGTCTAGTTATTTACAGATCGTTTAAAGCATCGACGTGAAAGAAAGAGCGGTATAACTCATATATCTGCGAAATTTCCGAGACCCGTAAATTTTCTCCTTTAAAAACGTAAGTACATTACTCATGTATACGTAAAGGCCTGTTCTGTCAAACCCGTGAAATGTGTTACAACGTGAACAGACAACGGGCTATCACTCTCAAACAAAGCCCGTGCGTCTACTTGCCCGCACGACACTCGGAGAGCCAGTCACCGCAAATTACGGAGGCAGCTCAGCGAATGACGATGGCGAAACATATGTGTAGGCCAAAAAACGCAGTTTGAGTTGTGACATGAAGCAATTCAAGCGTGACGTTTTGCATTACTTAGTGTCACAACTCAAACTGCGTTTTTTGGCCTACACATATGTTTTGGCATCGTCATTCGCTGAGCTGCCTCCGTAAGTTGCGGTCATTGGCTCTCCGAGTGTTGTGCGGGAAAGTAGACGCACGGGCTTTTTCTTTAGAGTGTATAGACTACCCCTTTTCATCAAACAAAAATTAAAGTTATAAAACTACTATTTGGAAAATACCATATACTAAAGTTAAATTGCTTTTGGGGTTTTCTTTTTACTTACTTTTATTTTATTTTTCTTTATACGTTGAGAGTAGACGCGGGGTTAAAAGATCTATATGTCAAGTTGAGCATGGTATTCTAAAAAGCAGCCTAGGCGGCAGTTCTGAAGGAAGGAAAAACTCGAAACAACTAAATTAGATTTTCTTTTTTTTAGGAAGGAGAGCGACAGCATTAAAGGCGATTGCGCCATTTTCGGTAATGTTCGTAGCAAAAATCCCTCCTGAAATGGCTAGGCACAGTAAGAATGCCAGCCTATCTCTTTCACGCAATAAAAAAAAATCACCACATTCGGAGCTGATTTCAAAAACGCGATATAAAAAGAAAAAATATTTTGTCCTATCTGCCACCCCGCGGAAATAGAGCACCCTCTATTTCCAAATCACCACGTTACGACCTACGCCAGTACCAGCATCACCATGAGGACGAACTCCTCGAAACGCACGTTCGCCTCGCCTGTCTTCTGCCGGTCGTAGCGACAAAACGCGTCCGTCGAGCTCTTGATGAACATGCAGCTTTGAATGAACTCGTCAAAGTAGATCTTGCCACCGCGGTCGTAGCGCCGAAGCAGGAGGTCAGTGAAGAGGTCCGACACGTTGTAGCCGAACTCCCGCAGCGCGCCTTGCAACTCGCTCGCCTCGATGCTCCCGTTGTTGGTCTTGTCAAAGACGCGGAAGGAAGCCGACCAGTCGGTAACGAAGCGGTACAGCTCGGCGAACTCGTCGTAGTTGATGGTGCCGTCGTGGTTGCGGTCGAAGAGTTCCACCAGCATCTTGGCCGTTTCCATGTTGAATGGCCGCCAGGTGCCTCCAGACAGCGCCATCTGCAGCTCTCGGTAGTCGATGGCGCCGTTGTGCCCCTGGTCGGCCGCCATGAAGGTGCTCCGAAGCGTCGCCTGATTCAGCGGCTGGCCGCCGATGTGCGCCATTTCCACGCCGCTGCGGTCGCCGCTTCGGCGACTCCCGCTGAGGTCGACGACGCTGCTCGACGGGCGGCCGTGCGCTCGCGCTCCGCGCCATCTTCTGCCTTCTCTTCGACCGAAACAATCGCCCCTAGCTTGTAAGGTTTGCGCTAGATTGCGCAGCACTAAACACCGGTGCAATCCACCCGCTTAGAAATCACAGTTCCGGAGGTTCTGGTATGAAAAGACACGTTCGCGTTCCATGGATTCACGAGCGACCATGGCAGGCTTTCAAGTGAGATCTCGTGCCAGTGCTCGTTGTGTGCACGCGCATTCTCTACCCAAAAACCTCGAACCGGTGATTTCCTGAAAAGATGGATCTGCAGGTCGCCTGTGACGGTTCGCGGCGACGCCAGGCGAGACGCTTACGCTGCTCTGCCGCCCACTCTTGCCGAGTTTCCGCGTGACACTTGGAGAGGGTTCGGGGACCCACTCACGATGACGCCACTTGCAGTCATTGTCCTTCTAAAGTCACGTGCATGCTAAGAGTGTGGTAGAACATAGCCTCCGTCAGAAGCTCCGCCCTCAGCACGCGCTTGTTGCCCTTCTGGCGCACTTTGCATGGTTGGGCGTGCTCAGGGACCCCATGGAGTGTTACCGAAAGTACAAACTAAGCTCGGGCTGGAAGCGGAGCTTCTGGTGCATTCTTAACTTGCATCTCACCATAGCTGGTATCGACCCTACCTAATCCGATACATCTCAACGCATACTATGAGTTCCACATTATATTATTTTTCTTATTCGATATCGCTATTTTCGAAGAGCCATTACGTCGCTTCAAGCAGAACGACCTTCACTCCTCTCATTTCACGGTTCGGTAACATTCACATTTTTTATTAATTTACAAGATATTACAAAAACACATCAACGAGGCAGTTACAATTTCTTTATTTTTCTTCCTACTTCCTCGTTCTTGACTTCTTTGCTCCACCCTTGGCTTCACCCGTTGCCTCACGCTGCGTATGATGAAATTTCCACCGCTGCCCTCGTATTGCGCCGGCAAAATTGCCCATCTACAGCGGAGACGCCGGACGCCATTTCAAGCCAGACTAACTTCCCGCAGCAAGTAAAAAAAAACCTTCATAAAACCATTTGGATTTTTGCTTCATCTTTTGCTCCGTCTCACATTGGCGTGACTCGGAGCGACGGCAATATGATCGAGCTTGCTCGCGCTTCAGAACCAAGAAATCCTAGGTTAAATCTCCACCCCTGCCCGTTTCGATCTGGGAGAGCATCATGCCGCCGTGCGGTCGTGTATCACTACTGCGTGGTGCGCGTTAAAGAACCCAGGCTAGCGATCGCACTGCCCCGGCTAAATTTCTTATTTACAGCGTAAACCAATGTCGCCACATCTCTAGACTGCCACTGTCTAAACAACTAACTATTAATTTTGTTCAGGCTCGACATTCTTGTTTTAGAAAGCAAAACATTGTCTATTACACCTCACTTACATTCTTTATTTCTGTAGCGTCGAAGTTGAAGCCTGCCAGAATGGGGCGCGAAATTTTTCATTGAAGATTGGGACATCATATTTATTACGGACGTCGCGATCTTCTGTCCAACCTGAGGTTCGAGAGGTTCAGCGAACTGTCGAACTTCCACAAAGATTCGACAAAGTTCGACAAAGTAATTCGCATTACCATGTCATGTCTTAATCATTTTCATTCGACGCGTGACTTCACGTTTCACGTGAGCGTTGTGGTTTGTTTGAAATTCCCGCGCGAGGTCATGTGGCTGTGGCCTCATGACCCTGTCGACCAATCAGAATTTTTCGTCACGACACCAACGCCGGCTTTTCTGTGGCACAAACTCCTTAACGATATTGCGTTAAAAAAAAAAAAAAGCATTATGCGCTGTGGCAGTGAACACGATGAAACGTCATGCTCAAATTTCATTGCCTAAAACAATGAAATTCGATTAGCTGAATACCATTATTTAAAACACTCTCAGAAACACAGGGCGTGGTACGAATCCCAAGCATCTTATTATCGCTCCCTACACAACAAATCGATTAATTAGCCGATAATAACGTCCAACAGGGTGTCGGAACGCAATATTTCTATGGTTTCAGGTTCGTTCCATAGAAAAAAAGTTCCGTACCGGCTCTGCTCCGCAAAGAAAACATCGAAAGCCCTAACAAGTGCGCACTTATTGCAACGATAGATAATTTATGAATTTGGGTAAAATACACCGCGAGAAAGAACGCGTCAATGAACTGAATGATCTTAGAAGCAGCACGTCATCAGAGTATACTCGGTGAAATTGAAGACCTCTGTTCCGATACAATCAACTTCAGCGCCGAGAATGCTTGCCTCACGCTGACCTGTGTGGCTTGTATACACCAAGAGGTACTTGAGCTAAACTGTGCAGTTTCGGTTTTGCGCTCCTTTTGTTTTTCCCAAAATGATATATGCATTCGTGGTTCTCGGAAGGCGTAGCTCCTTATTCAGTATTTTGAGCAAGCATGTTATGTCCACGGGGCATAGCTCACTCGTCAAATGACTGCCCTTCTGTGATGGGGGGCAAACTGACGGCCGTCTCCTACCTCGCTGCACGGAACAAATACTGAAATACCTAAACTTTCCCCTTAAACCGAAAGCTGATGATTTTGTTTTTTGTCTGTTTCGTCCCTGAACAAAATATTAATTAACGTTTCGATTACGTTTTCGTTCCACCCAAAAGTATCGTTGCTGCTGTTGTTGTTTTTCGTTTTTCAGTATTTTTTTTCTCGATTCGACACTTTGACACCGAAAAACGAATGACGAAGCAAGAAGTGTGAATATAATAAGTCACACCATGCGATTCTTAAGCTGGCAATGTCTATACCATACACTTTACACTCTAAAAAAGACTCGTGCGTGTACTTTCCCGCAAAACACTCAGACAGCCAATCACCGCAACGGACGGAGTTAGCTCAGCGAATGACGATGCCGAAACACATGTTTAAACCAAAAAATGAAGTCTGATCTGAGATATTAAGCAATGCAAGCGTGACGTTTTGCATTGCTTAATGTCACAACTCAGACTGCGTTTTTTGGTTTAAACATATGTTTCGGCATTGTCATTCGCTGAGCTGCCTCCGTAAGTTGCGCTGATTGGCTCTCCGAGTGTTGTGCGGGAAAGTAGACGCACGGGCTTTATTTTTAGAGTGTACCTACCCGCAAAACACTCAAAGAGACACCCTCTGCGATCAAGGAAATCAGCTGAGCGAATGATGAGGCGGAACATCCGTTTCGACCTCAAAATTAAGTCTGAGCTTTGGCATTACGCAACGCAAACATGACGCTTTGCATTGCGTAATGCCACATCGCAGACTTAAATTTGAGGTCTAAACAGATGTTCCGCCTCATCATTCGCTGAGCTGATTTCGTAGATCGCAGAGATTGGAACTTCGAGCGTTTTGCGGGTAAGTAGACGCGCAGGTATTTCTCAGAGTGTGGTGTTAAACTAAATTGCGTGAAAATAATTGCGGTGAAAATATAGGCACTCAACTTTTTTTATAGGCAGCCCTGCTCTTCTTTTCGTGCTTGCGTAAAAAAAGAAAGGAGCTTAGGCCCACTGCGCGCATATATTTTATAACGCCCTTACTCGGGGTGCGGACAACGGATCAGCGCGAAGAGACTGAGGACAAGCCAAACCAGCCCAGCTGTCCATTGGCTGGAGGACTACGTGAGCGCACAAAAGGTGCGCCGCTGTCATTGAGTGAAGAAGTGGCAGTGTCTCCCCGGGGTCGATGAGGCAACTCACTGCGGGACGCAATGGGCCGCTGCGGCGAATGTCGAAAGAAATGTACTCGTCCCTCAATTAGTGGCAGTCGGGCACTAACGACGCGAAAAAAAACACGCATATGTTATTTTACATATATATATATATATATATATATATATATATATATATATAGGTAAAGTAAGGTAAATATAAAAACAAGGGACCGGGAAAAGTTAATAAATCAAAGATGCGTACTGTCGGAGTTACTAATTCGAAGTTTATTACGACGTTTCGAGCGGGGACCGCTCTTCATCAGTGGAGAGCGGTCCCCGCTCGAAACGTCGTAATAAACTTCGAATTAGTAACTCCGACAGTACGCATCTTTGACTTATATATATATATATATATATATATTGAAGAAAAAAGTGTATTTACGAGTTTCGTAATCAATCGCCATTGACGCGATGTTGTTTATCGTTGTGTTCTTATACACTCTAAAAACATATGTGCGCCTACTTTCTCGCACAACACTCGGAGAGCCAATCACCGCAACTTACGGAGGCAGATCAGCGAATGACGATGCCGAAACATATGTTCAGACCAAAAAACGCAGTCTGAGTTGTGACATTAAGCAATGCAAGCGTGACGTTTTGCATTGCATAATGTCACAACTCAGACTGCGTTTTTTGGTCTAAGCATATGTTTCCGCATCGTCATTTGCATAGCTGCCTCCGTAAGTTGCGCTGATTGGCTCTCCGAGTGTTGTGCGTGAAAGTAGACTTACAGACATTTTTAGAGTGTAGACGTTATGTTTCGTAAAAACAGCGCTGGCAAACGAAAACGAAAAATTTTAAACGGTTCTATCAGACGCATTCGTATACATATGCGGTTTTTTTTAGGAGATGACAACAAAACCATTTTTTTTCCCCAATTGTTTTTCTTCATTCTAGAATCTACCTACTTTTGCGTCTCTCGGAGCAAACGCGTAGTTCTGATCGCAGTGGTAATGTATTTTACTGTCCAAATTTTATGTATATGTTTGCGTCACTCGGTTCGAAAAAAGGACATCGTCACTCTGAGACCGACAAACAAAGAGGCACTCTATCTTAACTTACCACAGCGCCTACCAGTAAACACTACGAAAAAGTGGCAACTAGTGATGACATCAATATCCAAAATCCTAATTGGCTTGAAACAAAATACGCGTGACTGCCTTAGGCACTTTCTGGAACGCGCGGCTGTCGTTTTATACTGTTGGTGAAAGAACGCTCTGAATCCACGAGTCGTACGCGTGTCAAAACAGGTAAAAACGCCGTGCTCTTATGACAATACCGTGCATTTACTTCTCACGCTTGGAGTTTTGATTAGTCTCAGTCGGTCCGCTATTTATTCAACCAAACACCCTTCGTCCCACGATGATTTTTAGTAAGATAAACGACCGGGGTTACATGCACGCAACAACGGAAGCTGCTTTCTTAGGAACAAGCTATCTCGGCTACTTTGTCATCGCTCAGGAACTAAACTGAGAACCCGCCCCTTTCTGCTGTCCCTCCCGACGAACCCGACAAAAACAAAAAATAGCGTATAAAGACAGAAACAAAAAAAAAAAAAAAAGCAAACCCCAAGGAAGCATTTGTCGCGGGGTGGGACGTCAAAAATCCCCGTGACGTTCGCATCGAACCCCGCGCAACATCCGCGGTAGCAGCAGCAAAAGCAGGAAGGTAGGCGTGCGGGCTCCAAGATTAAAAATGGATTTTCTTGGCGCCCGGAATCCGCAAAAGCCCGTCGCCGAGAAGGCCATCGCGTGTAAACAGCTCATGCGTCCTGCCGTGCCTCCGACGGCAACGTCGGTGAAATCTGGGCATGCATGGGGGAAATTAACCACAACAACAAAGAAAAAAAGAAACTTTTCCACGACATTACACGATTTTTTTGGGGTGTATTTTGTTGAGGAACACCGAAAGAATGAGACAGAGGTGGAACGAGGGAACGATGTACACTTTCTTTCAAAGGTGTATACGTCGTCCCTCGTCCCTCTTTCGGTGTTCCTCAACTCAACCAACACGCTCGACAGACTAGATTACTTTGTTTTATGTGCACATGTTTCTTCTTTATTTTTTTTTATTTTTTTTGTTAGTGGTGATACAAGGGCGAGGGTAGGGGGACTGGTACCAAAAAAACTAATAAAATGTGCGAAAAAAAAAGTGTCTAACATAAAAAATAGGCGCTGATCAGACAGCAGCTGCCGTAGTAACAGTGCTGCTTCGCTGCAATCTTATTGAAGAAGTGTCATTCACAGCGGAGCGCAGCCACCCTGTTACAGTGCTCGAGATTGATTAGAAGCGAGATTGTTCGGATTGCTTTCGAGAGAGAGAGAGGAAAAAACAGGCACGAAGATAACACGCTGGACCTCCGTCTCTCGTTTCAGGAAACGGATTCATCGAAGGTCGAGAATTGGACAACTTCCTCCGGGAATTCGTGTCCAGCGTCAGCCTGTCTGATGTAGGTCCGGAGGTGAGTGGCACGACGTCGGTCTTCCTTTCCACCATTTCGTCCCTTTGTTTGGGGGAAGAGTGCGACCGAATGCCTTCCTTATTCCGGGTTAAACATACGATTAAGAATAACTGGTTCTTCAAAATCACCGGCGAATACTGATTCAAACGGCACTGCGGTGTTGAAAATACTCCCTAGCTATACTATCCCATTTCTATAGGGGGATCGGTGGCCGAGTGGGCTAGCGCACACCAGTTCGGAACACGGGCAGCGAAAGCTCGCGCGGCAGAACCCAGGGATCCTGGGCTCAATCCTCATCCCTGCCCGTTTCGATCTGGGTGAGCATCGTACCGGCGTGCGGTCGTGTATCCCTACTGCATGATTCGCGTCAAAGACCCCAGGCTAGCGGTTCTTCTGGACTGGCTAAATTTCTCATCTACAGACAAGTCGCCCGTTGAGGCAGACTAACTTTCGTATGTATAAGCATACACACAACACAATTGATATTTCTAAATTATCGAGTTCGGGTGGTGCAATCGAGCAACAGACTTGTCATTTGCGACAATATTTATATATTTCTTTATAAATTACCTCCCATTAATTACTTCTCAGATTATTTTATTATTTACACCGGTAATTTTTTTTTATCGGCTTCTTGCAAATATTTTTTTTTCAAAGATTTCTCATTAAAACAAAATGAGTGTTCAGTTAGAGGCCTGAAAGGCAGAGGTTCCAGATCTGAAAGAAAATGGTAGAGAATGCTCGTTCTCCGCTCTCCACATATTAGTGCTTGGCCGAAACCACCCGTCGGCATTCTTTCGTGTTTTAAAACCGAAGATTTTCGTTTCCTGAGATACATAGGCGAAAGCGTGAACGCTTTCCTTCATATGACCACTGCAAATTATTCGAGGTAATAGAATTCCACGCTTAACGTAACTAGCACCACTGCCATTGTGTCAAGTAACTTCATTCAGACTTCTCATGTTTGCACTCGGACGCGAGACAGATGCCAGTGAGACACTGGCATGAACGCGTCCGTATTATATCATCTCTGGCGACGCCATGGCGTGGACCATACAGGCAGATTTTTGTTTCTTGTGGGTATCAAGAACACTTGTGTTAAAGCACCCCCAAGGGTAATAAATACTGTACTAAAACCGCGTCCTGACGAAAATGAAGTGAGCCTTTAAAACAAAGTTTACTTGATTGAAAATACCGTGATGCCGTGTCGAAGTCGAGCGCCATAAACTCCGGAAACGCTCTGAGTGAGCGTCATCCTAAACCTGTCAGATCTACGCCATCCGGTTGCAAACAACGCACCCGCACAAAGTAAATATCGGAAGAAGAAAAATAATTCTCGAAGCTGACGCTTCCTTTTGTTGACGATAAAACAAGCAGTAAAAGAGACAGGAGCGCCACCGACAAAAATGTTATAAACGTTAGACGGGTAAATAGTTGTAAAACGGATCTCCGGAGATATCGTGTACACGCATTTGAAGTAGTGAGATATATAACAACGTCAAACGCCGCTGCCATAAATTGCAATGGTAATATGTTTAGTACTTACGAAGCCATCGGCGTCGCGCTAGTTTTTACAGCAAAGCTGTTATGCGCTAGGATCCGGGGAAAAATGAGTCCGCGGATGTTAACAGAAAACTCCCCATTGGTCGTGGGAAGTATGAATAAATAAAAATAAAAAAGGGGGCAACCAGCGTGGTCAGCCTTCGTTGGCATTATTAGATAGTGAGGTCCTGATCCCTTGTTATCATCTCTAGCCATCGTTCTCGAGGTCGTCCTAGAAGTCGTTCTTGTAGACGTTCGAGAGGTCGTCCTATGCGTCGTCCTCTAGGCGTCTTCTCGAGGTCATCATAGAAGTCGTCCTTGAGGTCTTTCTAGACGTCGTCCTCTAGGCATCGTCCTAGACGTCCTAAAAATAACATCTTCGATGGCCCTCTATCTTCACGTGAAGTAGAAGGGCTCTACAATTTTTTTTTTTTTTTTACGAATGAACCTTGATAAAAACCAAAACATAGTAAAACCATGTTACTGCCTCGAAATAAATGTTAATGCACAATACACTATGCATTCCGAATTTACGCACACGGAATAGTGCTACAGTCAGTGACAGTTTACTAAATGCCGTGACAGTTTAAGAAACATGTCCCGAGTACCTTCTGAACGCCACGGAGCCAATCAGATTACGTATCACGTATCACGAAGCAAGAAGAGTTTCTTAAAGTGTCGGTGACTGTAGCATAAGTATGGATGTTTAATACAAAGAGTGGGCCGACGTGCTTCGAGACTTTCAAAAAAACACGAAGCCTCCTTTCACAGCCTTTGACGCTCCGGTCGTCAGGTGTTCCCTAATTTCGGGCTTGCCAACACTAATGCGATTAATCAATTTGCAGACTTCCTTGCTTTAGCTTGAAGTTGAGACCGCATTGGTTGAATGAAGCCGCGAAAGATGCCGCAGCCGTGTATTTCTTACGGTACCAAAACTCCAGGCCAAAGCGTAAGCGCATGCGCTATGGAGGCTTCGAACAAGGTCGCAAGAAAATTGTAACAAAACCACCACTAACTTGAACAGCGGAACAAAGATCCGTCTATCGTTTAGCGACTACTTGGGGATTCCCGTGTCTTTGTGGCAACGACGAGAGCCACTAAAGACCCCTACGCACAGCTGCGTCTGAGCGAGTTTGACTGCGTGGCGGCGGCGAGAAACCAGGACATCCGTGCTTCTTGTGTCGCGAGCTAAGCAATTCCTTCAATTGGATTCCACGCTTCATGCGAAGCGCAGATGTTCCCTTTACCTTGCTTTTTGCGCTATCAACGCGCAAAATTTCTGGCAGTACGTGAGGGCTATTGATGTGGTATGATAGCCCATCTGAATAGCTTTCTTGAACAGCCCTTACCAAAGTCGGGGCTACCAGTGTACATGATTAAAATAAACAGCACTTAATAACAGAGACCAAGAGAAGAAACCCAGAACACGTCGCAGGTGCTTTTGGGTTGTACAAACTTGGGCGTCTCAAACTGCCAGATATGTAGAAGCGTGCCTGCTCTGGTGCGGAACGCGAGATCACGAGGAAAATACAAAGCAACAAAAAAAAACTTGAACTCCATCGAAGCACAGGTCAAAGCTAAGACACTAAGAGAATGAGTCAAGAGACGCCATTTCGCGGGTTTTAAAGTAAAAAGAAGAAAAAACAATAACATCGGGAAGCTTTTGACGTCACCATTCAAAGTAAAGAGACGCGTACCCTAGCGGTGGTGGCATGCATTTTTGTTCCCCTTCTTCAGCACTACAGGGAAAGAAAAAAGCTCAGCGAGGGTACCATAAGTAGCACGAGGCCCAATCAGGTGAGCTTGTACTACCCAAAATGAGGGCGCCACAGTTTGTTCAAAGCTTCAGAGCCGTATATAGAGAGACAGTTTGGCCATACATTGGGAAGTATAGGAAGCAAATAAAGGATGCGCCATTAGTCGAAAGCGTGTTGGGCGTGTTCCAGGGCGTCTTCACAATTTCGAATGTGGCCAGCCAGAAGCCGCGAATAATACTCTGGCGGTGGTCGCGAGAAACACAATTAATAAGTGCGTCGGAGTAACTCACGGTGACTTAAAATATGGTGCACGTGATTTTTCGATAACGGTCAGGCAAAATAAAAATCTGGTAGAACGATCGACGTGATCCGTACACCAAGTGCCGAGGGCTGGGAATCTGCCGTCCGAACAAAACAGAGTTCGATCGGCACATTCGGTTCTTACATATTTTTGCATGATCATATTCGAAACATCACGTGCACCACATTTTCAACCATGAAGAGTTACTACATTGAACTCTTACCCGCTTATTAAAACGGTTTCTCGCAACCACAGCTAGGGGATTATTTTCAGCTTCTCGTTAACCAAGAGAGCATGTCAAGCCCTGTTTCTGCGTCTGGTGCAGGCCCTGGCTCTGCCCTTTCCTCCCAATTGACCAAACTCTCTCTTTATACGGCTCTGCAAAGCTTCAGCGCAGGAGGCGAAAACAGACGCCGACGCGCCGCTTTTGTGTCCGCGTCTCACGGCGTCGCAGACGACAATATACAACGGTGAAATAGGGAGTATTCACTGGCGGCCATAGCCGTGTGCGTGACTGCTGAGTGCGTGCTCATGGCGAGCTTCCACAGTTCTTTTGCAACGTGCATTCCACACCATCAAGATTGCTGGTCTTAGCAACCTAGTAATTTGAGTTTGTTCTGAGCATGATCTCTAAACAGCACCCACAAATATGGCGTCCAGTGAATACTCCTTATAGCAGACGATGCCGGAGGCTGCCGCTCGTCTGCTAGAAACACCGGATGACGCGAAAGGGAGACACTAAGCTTGTTAGCCTGTTCCGTCGAGCAGCCAACCCTGTCCAGTAGTAATGGGCGGGGCCACTGATCTGTGGGCGGGCCGTGACCTCCACCTAAATTATGTCTAACAGTGTAAATACTGCTAGATTTTTTTTTTCGTGGAAAAATTATTTAAAAAAAATACGTGTCCCATCTACACTCTAAAAACGCCCGTGTGTCTGCTTTCCCGCACAACACTCGGAGAGCCAATCACCGCAACTTACGGAGGCAGCTGAGCGAATGACGATGCCGAAACATATGTTTAGACCAAAAAAACGCAGTCTGAGTTGTGACATTAAGCAATGCAAGCGTGACGTTTTGCATTGCTTAATGTCACAACTCAGACTGCGTTTTTTGCTCTAAACATGTGCTTCGGCATTGTCATTCGCTGAGCTGCCCCCGTAAGTTGCGGTGATTAGCTCTCCGAGTGTTGGGCGGGCAAGCAGACGCACGGGCATTTTTAGAGTGTATACCTTTAAACAAAAACACGTTGTTTTTTTTTTCCTTGCAGTGTCCCTTTAAGCGCCGTTTAATTTCCGGCACGTTCAGTCAGCCCTTATAGTCAGCGACTGTTGAAGAACCGCAAGGCGATGCTTACTAAATTCACGTTCCTTGATTAGCTATTGGTTGTTCGGCGCTTTAATC